CCCCATGCGGCCACGTGGGCCCTCCCCAGCTGGGTTCCTCCCGCTGGCCTGTTCCTGCAGGTGGACTTGCATGTCATGGAGAGTGATGGCCAGGAGCTGAGTCGTAGAGAGAGATTGCCCTGATGACTCAGGCGTTACCCAGACAGGAACCCAGTGCCCGCACTCACCCTGACGAAGCTCGCGGGGAACCAGGCCTCCTTGTCTTCATTCCGGCCCCACCACCAGTCCTTGTTAGAAGCTTCCAGAACCTGAATGACATCCCCGGCCTTGAAGCCCAGTTCCTGGTCGTCCATGGTCACATGGTCCCACAGGGCCTCCGCGCAGACCACACTCCCGTCATTAATCAGCTGGAACATAGACAGGGTGCTCAGGGGATGGGGGTGACCAGGGGGCCGGGGTGACCAGGGGACCGGGGTTCCCAGGGGATGGGGTGCTTGGGGACAGGGTGCTCAGGGTACGGGGAAGGGGCTCACGCTTGTGATCCCAGCATTTTGGCAGGTCAAGAAGGGAGGATCGCTTGGGGCCAGGAGTTCAAGAGCAGCCTGGGCAACATAGCGAGACCTCGACTCTACCAAAGATCAAATAATTAGCTGGGCGTGGTGGCGCACACTTGTTGTCCCAGCTACTCAGGAGATTGAGGAGGAAGACAAGGCTGCAGTGAGCTATGATCATGCCACTGCACTCCAGCTCCAGCCTGGGGGACAGAGTGAGGCCCTGACTCAAAAAAGAAGAGATGAGCTTCAGTTATCTGGAAAGCTTCGTCATGTAAATTTCCTGGACGAGGCAGCGCATCTCAGTGCGGTTCTCATCAGAGTTCCAGGTTTAGAATATGCAGAGTAAAAAGTAATCAGAGGGCCAAGTTGGAAGAGGTAGTCAGACCTGAGAACCAGGAATCACCACCTGCCATGCCCATGGGGACCCTAGTACCTCGTTAATGGCCAGCTGCTCCCCGCCCGGCTGCAGGTACCGAGGGTTGGCCTGGCAGAGGTCTTCATAGCTGAAGTCCTCTTCACTGCCATTGTCATCCACCAGGGCACAGGACTCTGCCCCTCCATCCGAAGAAACTGGAAAAAAAAGGGTACATGGTTTAAAAAGCACAACTTGGGCTAAGTACGGTGGCTCACGCCTGTCATTCCAGCACTTGGGGAGGCTGAGGTGAGAGGATTGCCTGAGCCCAGGGGTTCGAGGCCAGCCTGGGCCACATGGCGAGACCTCGTCTCTATAATAAATCAAAAAATTAGCTGGCATGGTGGCGCGCGCCTATAGTTTCAGCTACTTGGAAGGCTGAGGCGGAAGGATTGCCTGAGCCCAGCAAGTTGAGGCTGTGGCCGTGAGCGTGCCACTGCACTCCAACCTGGACGACAGAGTGAGATCTTGACTCAAAAAAAAAAAAACAAACCCAAACAAACAAAAAAAAAAAACACAACTTGGAAAAAAAATTATCATATGACAAGAACACACTCCTCAGTGAAAGTAATCATTTGTATCTTACCCAGACTATGAAATTGTTAGCTGGGCGTGGTGATTCACGCCTGTCAGCTCAGCACTTTGGAAGGCCAAGATGAGAAGACTGTTTGAGCCCAGGGGTTCGAGACCAGCCTGGGCAGCATAGCAAGACAATGTCTCTACAAAAAAAATCAAAAAGTCAGCTGAGCGTAGTGGTGCGCGTCTGTAGTTCCAACTTCTTGAGAGGCTGAGGCGGAAGGAGCGCCGGAGCCCAGGAGGTCAAGAGTGAGATTCCAACTCAAAAAATAAAAATAAATAATAAAATGAAGAAATTGTGACAAAGTTTCTACTAATATGTTAACCCAGAGGTAGTCTTCAGTGTTACATGCGTGGGAGGTGGAACATTCCAGAGGTTGCTGCCAAGGCAGTGTCACTTGGGGGTGAGGATGCTGTTTGGACGTTTTAGTTTCAGTCAAATTATTGTTGCCATGCAGGTAAAAGACAGAAGCAGAATGCTGGGTTACGTTTCTCAGTGTCTTTCCCGCCGCAGGTGTATGGACACGTTGTCTGGAAACAACGTTACCTGTGTTTATGATTTTTATATCCACCCTGGGTCACAGATTTCCAATAAAATCATACACAATTCATTATCTTTTTTTTTTCTTTCTCGAGTCGAGGTCTCACTCTGTCGCCTAGGCTAGAGTACAGTGGCACAATCATGGCTCACTGCAGCCTCCAACTCCTGGGCTCAAGCAATCCTCCCTCCTCAGCCTCCCAAGTAGCTGGGACTACAGGTGCATGCCATTACGACTGACTAATTTTTTTTTTTTTGGTAGAGACAAAAAAATGTTGCTCAAGGTGATCTTGAACTCCTGGGTTCAATCCTCCTGCCTCTCAAAGTCCTGAGATTACAGGCTAAGGTGGGAGGATTGCTTGAGGCCAGGATTCAAGACCAGCTTGGGCAACAAAAAATAGATAAATGAGCCAGGTGTAGTGGTGTTCACCTGTAATCCTAGCTACCTGGGAGGCTGAGGCGGAAGGATCACCTGAGCCCAGGAGTTGCAGGCTGCGGTGAGCTATGAGGATATGAGGGCATCACTGTACTCTAGCCTGGACGACAGAGTGAGACCCTGTGTCTAAAAAGAGGAAGAAAAAAAGGAAATCCCACATTCTTGAGAATATTTGCAAAAAAGAGAAGGCAGAGGGCGCAGCCCATGGCCTCAACTGTGACCTCGTGCCCTGGCTTGCCCTGAGAACACGCCCTGGGGTGTGTGAGGGGAGAGTCCTGGGTGTGAGGACGCACGGGGGCTGAGGCGCGCTGCTATGGGAAGGCGAGAACCCACACGGTGGTGACAGCAGGCACAGATGCCAGCGCTTCTCACCAGGCCAGCCTCCGCCTCACCAAAGAGCTGTGTCCCTTCCCAGCCAGCTAGAGCCTGGGGTGGGCGAGGGGGTGGTCCCCTCCTCCACTTCGAGGAAATTCCCGCACTTCAAGTAACCTGCAGAAACATCTGCTGCAGAAAGCCTCCCTCAGTCTCCGACCTCCTGGAGCCCAGGTCAGCCTGTGGCTCCGTCTCGATCCCGGACATGGCGTGTCTAGGTGGGTGGCATGTGCTCACGTCTGTGGGCTGAAACCGTGGGTGGGCCCTGGTCCCCAAGAGCGACCCGTGGGCCTTGGAGATGCACACAGAGGAACATGCTGGGTCATGGGGAATGACAATGTTAAAACACACTACACAACGCCCAGACCCAGGGCTCCCCAGTACCGCCCAAACACAGGAGCCCGTGGCCCCTACCATGGGGAGGACGGTTAGAAAATTCAAGGTCCTGCCCCACAATTTATTTTATTTTATTGTATCTTTTTTAGAGACAGGGTCTCACTCTGTCACCCAGGTAGAGTTCAGTGGCACAATCACAGCTCACTGCAGCCTCCAGTTCCGGGGCTCCAGGCATCCTCCTGCCTCAGCCTCTCAAGTACTACAGGCATGCACCATCATGCGCAGCTTATTTTTTATTTTTTATAGGTTTCAGTATGTTGCCCAGACTGGTCTCAAACTCCTAGGCTCAAGCGATCCTCATGTCTCGGTCTCTTAAAGCAGGCGTGAGCCACCACACCTGGCCACCGAGAATTTATTTTCAAGAGCCCCCCAAGAGACTCTGATACCTAAATTCATGACTCCCTGGCCCTTCTGGTTCAGCTTACACATATCATGCTTGGATGGTTCTAGGGGCAAGCCTTTTGCTGCCTGTCTACACAGCACGCCACAGCGGCTGGGCAATGACTCCCCATCACACTGGCTGACAATCTCTGTGTTAGCCGCTGGGGACCAATGGAAGGACAGCTCTTTTGTCCTCGCTGCCTCTCCACCTGGCCGATTTCCCTCCCACATGCCAAACTCTGACCCTCCTTTCGAGAGCAGAACCATCCCGTCTTGGTGGTGGGGTCTGTGATCTTCCAGCTGTCTCCCTTAACACCCCTGATCCCTGCGGCAGCAACCCCCATCTTTAATGTTCTGGAAACACTCCAGGCTCGCCTCTTGTAAAATGTGCGCCGCACTTCCATCATGGTCACCATGTGTACGTAGGTCTGTGCCTCTGTCCCTCTACCTCCCGCACCTGCTCCCATCCCAGCAGGGACTTTGCACAGTTGCAGGCCAGCTGCCACCCCCCACGTCCCTGTGCCCAGCAAGGGGGCTCTCGGCATCCTCTTGCGAGAGCCCACAGCCTCCTGGAGTGCCGCCGTCTGCGCGTCGAGAACGCTGTGGAGAATGCTGTGGCTCAGAGGTCACGAAACTGCTCCCAAGTTGGTGGGCTGGATCCACACCCAGGTTTGTCGGCCCAAGGCGATCCTGCCATGAGCCTGCCTCATGGCTCAAGCCCTGACTCACTTAACTCATGCTTACGGGTTGGGGTGGGATGGGACAGGACGGGGCATGATGGGACAGGATGGGGCAGGACAGTGCAGTACAGGACAGGGCAGGACGACGCAGGACATGACGGAATGGGGCGGGGCAGGGCAGGACAGAACAGTACAGGACAGAACTGGACGGGATCGAAACAGGACAGGGCAGGATGGGAATGGGACGGGACAGGACTACAGTCCAGGTCCACTCCACCCTGCCACAGTGTCCTCCTGGGAGCCGCCAGGCTGTCCCTCAGGGCACTGCCCTCTCAGGGCTCCAAATCAGAGGGCACCCGCCCCCGGCCAGCCTTGCTCTTTATTTTAAATCCTGTGCATTTGCTCCAAGCCTCGCACCACTCAGTGTGGCACGGTGTGGTCTGCAACACCCTGACCAGGCTCCTCTCGGGGAGGCAGATGGAGGCCAGCCTCAGAGCTGGTCTCCGGGCAGTGCCGGGCACGGGGCTTTCCCTTCCAGGCCGGTGAGTTGGGGTGGGCCTAGAGCCTGAAGCAGGGGAGCCTTCCCCCAAGGTGGGAAGGCAGTGGAGGGAGGCTGGGAGAACCGGGCCACCAGCCAGCTGTCCTCATCCCACGCACAGGCCACACCTGGCAGGAACAAACACAGCCTCGCCCCCAGCCACAGGTGCACCTGGGGAGGGGCCGTGTAGACGCAGACAGTGCCTAGCCATCCCTCCAGGGCCTGTGTCCCAACATGGAGCACAGTCATGGGCGACTCCTTCCTCTTTTTCTCAACCCTGGCTGGAGACAGAGTCCTCGCCGGCCGTGTTTTTGATTGTCCGCCAGACACAGAAGCCGCGACCACATCCTCTGGGCCCGGCCGGCCCGAGGCCAATCGCAACAGGCTCCGGCTCCCACGCAGCCTGGGGTGGCCACGGCCCCACCAGCTCCAGCCATGGCAGCTATTTATGGAGAGACACGCCTTGTCCACCGGGCAGCCGGACAACCTGTCTGTGGGGCATTTTCTCTCTTCCTTCCTTTCACGAGTGGCTGGATTAGTTTACAGCTTCTTAAGGTGATGAAGTGACTTTCTTTCCCATTCAAAGGGACTCATCAAGGGGCCAACACTCAGAGTATTGAAAGGGAGGAGGAGACAGGCCCAGGGCAGTGGCGACCACTGTTGAACATAGCACGAAACCTCACACGCCTGAAATCCACAGAAGTCATTTGTTCACCCCAACAGTGACCTCTTGGGCGAAGGAGCTTTGAGAAACAAAAGCAAAACCCAGCAGCAAAACCAGCTTGTCAGTCATGAGCCACGGGCCTTGCTTGATGCGAGTATTTTCTGCTTCAAACTGTTGCACCATAAACAAAATCAATTGCTTCCACTGAATTAAAATGAGTACTACCTCCGGAACCCTTCCGAGAAGGAACCCTTACGAGAAGGAACCCTTCCGAGAAGAGTGTTTCCTTGCACACTCACACCTGACAAGCAGAGAGACATGGGGGGGGGGAGAGAAGAAGCAGAGAGAGAGAGACAGAGACGGGGAGGGAGACAGGGAAAGAGAGAGAGAGACCAACAGAGAGAATGAGAGAGACAGTGAGAGACAGAAGGAGAAAGGAGAGAGCGAGAAGGAGAGAGAGAGAAGAGAGAGACAAAGAGAGGAGAGAGAGAAAAGGAGAAAGGGAGGGAGAGAGAGAGACACCGACAGAGAGAGGGAGAAAGGAGAAAGAGATAGGGAGGGAGGGAGGGAGAGAAGA